CATGGGCAAACGCGCCTCGTCTTGAGTGTGCGAAATCACTATGGCATAAATAAACGTGTTAGGCTTGGTTGTGGAGTTGGTGCGAGTGCACAATTCCTTTTCTTGAGCCAAACATATTAGTAGATGTGAAAAGTATAAAATGAACATAGTGCCACGTAAAGCAAATCACAGCATAAACTGCAAAACTGTTTGACGTTTTCTACTCCGATCTCTTCACCCAGTGGATCGGGGAAACCCTCAATTTCCTCAATGAGGGCATGCTCAAGAATCACTTTGCCCTCTTTATAGCGTTGACTGTCTTCCATCGCGTGCTCGTACATCCATCCCAGCATTGCACTGCAGCGGGAATAGAGTACACCACGAAGAGCAAAACACAAAAGGCACGGTTACTTCTACAGACAGGAATGGAATATAAAGAATGCCCAAGTTATTACCGAAATGTGTTCTGTAACTGCGCTGTTATGAGAAGCATTAATACGTTGGAAAGGATAAAAGGAAAAAGAATGACCAGACAAATCTACCCACCGAGACACTTATTTTGTCCCACCTTCCCCAAATTTTTTTCTCTTAATTGAACTAAAAAACACGTTACTTCTTGCTGCACATTCATTGTCAATGAAGATGAGTTCTTGTACGAAGCTGAAGGCTTAGACACATAAAATATCCCTCCCAGTGGTTGCGCTTTCATCTTCTTTGCAACAAGAACCTGAGGCTCACATATTCGCTTCCATCCATAAACAAAAATCCTCCTATGTACTCTAGGGCCTCGCGCTGATACGTAGTTCGAGTGATAATGTTGAGATGCATTCCTCTGCAGTATCGTACTAAAAGAACTGCGGATTCCCGAAAGGCCTTTCGCGTCTCCCCTTGGATGTTTATTTGCATTGTTGCGTATCCTTCGTCCTCCAGTTCCTAAAGGGTAATCTATCCATCGCTGATTCATCTCTACTACGTATGTTTTCTGCATAAATATAAATGACTCAAACTTCGATATTCACACTCCTGTAGGCTTAATTAACCTAAAGCCAAACTTCTCAAGTTGATTGCATGACCTCGACCGAGGAAAACTCCATTTTTGTTTTACTTTACTCGCAATCTGGTCGGGAGCACATTCGATTCTGCACGACGTTCGTGGAGTGGTCATACTCGGTTTTGCGCCTCGCCCCCTTTTGCCTGATCAACTGACGACAATGAACAGCGTTAGGCACATCACATGACTGCAGCTGGCTAGCATGACTCTCCTCGTCTAAGGTACGTTATATTAAAATTTTGTCGGTTCCCTATTTACATAAACCGTCCGTCAAATTCCTTTGTACATGTGTGTACAAGGGGTCGAACGTACGGAGATCAATCTTCTCTGTAATTCTTGAAGAGTTTCGGAGAAGACATGACA